ATTGCCTTGGGAGGTGGAGATAGCACCAACAGTTGCAGGGCAATTTGAAGATGCAGAAGTTGATCACTGAGGACACACTGCTTGTAAGCTTAAAATTTAGTTCTTTCTACGTTCAGTGCAAGGCGTTTCAGATGTGCAAGACCTTTTTGCCTTGTGAGCTGGTTGAATCGAGAATTGCCTGTAAGCCTCTGCCTTAAATTGTTCTTTGAAATTCCATGGAAGGTTTTGTGGGTAAACGTGGAATTTTGTTGTGTCAGTAAGTCTTATGTGACGCTTTGAAAAGCATTTCTAATTGTATATCTTAAATTTCTGCACACTTGATAAGCCAGGGGAGAGCAATTATTTGGGCCCAAGGGCCACATAGGGAGTATTGAGCTTTCGCAAGCTGGGTCAGCACCCCTCCCCTCCCCCCGCACCCCTCAACATCTCACCAAAACTCCCTATGGGGCTGTGGGTGGGCGGGAAGCAGTGTTCAGGAGCAGGAGGGGTGGGTGAGGCTGGGATCATGGGGCCAGATTGCAGGGTGGTGATAGCTCCAGGCTGCTCTCTACAAGCCCTTGCCCTATGGGGTTTGATGTGGGGTGTGGGGAAGGCTCCCTGGGTGCTAGGTCCCTGGAGCCTGCCATGGGGGAGGGGAGAGGTGGGGGGTGCATGCAGCAGAGCTTGCCTGGGATGTGCAGTCTGTGGCACTCTGCATAGGGCTTGAGCCCTGTGTGCTCATGTTGGGGCAGCCTGTACCATGCTCCCACTGGAGCTATTCTGCTCCCCCCACCTCCAGTGGCAGCTCCTACCCTTGCTGTGGTGCAGCAAGCAGATTCTGGTGGGGCTATTCCCAGTGTAGCTGCAGCTGGCTGGGTGCTGCTCTGCTTACCCTGCCTCCAGCAGTGGCTCCTGCTCCTGCCCCTGCCGTGCCACATCACTCATACATTTCATAGACATTAGGGCTGGAAGGGACTTTGCAAGATCATTTGGTCCAGCCCCTGACCAATGGGCAGGAAGTCAGCGGGGGTCAGATCAGCCCAGCAGGCAGGCAGTTTTGGTGGAAGGTGGCTGAGAGCTGGAGCCCTGAGCACTGGGGCAGGAGCCACCCAGCTGAAGCTGCCCACCCACTTGCCTGGAGCAGCACGATGCGGTGTGGCAGAGCCAAGATCAGGAGCAGGAGCCACTGCTGGAAGCGGGGAGGGAGCAAAGCAGCATCTGGCTGCAGCCGTACCAGAAACAGCCCCACCAGAAGCTGTGCACACTTGCTGTGGGCACTGGCGGGAGCTGCACCAGTGGAGGGGTGTGGCCACATCTAGAGCACCATGGGGTTAGCCCACAGGCCGTATTTTGCCCACCCCTGTGTTAAGCTGTGGAACAAGCTACCGTGTAGCACTCCAGTCTTTTCATCACTGATCAGTTTAAATTAGTGTCTTATTTGGGTCCTGACCTTATCTGCTTCATCAAAACCTTTTGATAGATCTGGGTCTTAGGGTGGATTGTCCAGTTCCACAGCTTCTCTTGGAAGTTATCGAGATACCAAGGCCACTTCTGGAAAGCTACCACCTTCAGTATCCATTATTTCCTCTCTTTAGTGCAGATGATTTGGCAAACATTCAAGGTGCTTCTCTCATTACTTAAATGAGTGTTATGTGGAACAGCAGTGACCAAAGTCTTCTCTTAGTGTTAAGACACTCGTGACATCTGCATCTTATAGTTTCCTAGTAGCTAGGGTCAGGAGGGACCTGAACAGATCATCTAGCCTGACCCCCTGCCACAG